GTTCTTTGATTATTTCGTTGGGCGTATTTGGAAGAGAAATAAGTAGATGATTGATTTTTGAGAAAGCAAATGTTTTAATAACAGTTATTTTCCCATAAGGGGTTAGAATTCTTTTCGACCATTGCTGTTATTATTATTTTATATCTGCTATTTTCTCGTTATAGTTAAGATTGATTATCTCATTCAGATTGAGCGAGCATTTTATTCCAAGAACATTGACATTTTCATTTTCCGATGAAATATTTTCTTCAGTTTGAAATTTAATATCGCTACCCTTCATGCTTCCAAACCAAATAACCTTAAGTTTTTTTCTATATTGATGCGAAGGCCGGAGGCATTGGCATAGAATTTTAATACCGAAAGCGCATTTTTCAAAGATTTTTCTGTACCATCCAAGGTCTCTATTTTGAGGGGAAGTAACTCATGTTTACTAAATTATTTGTTCTATTTTAGGTATAACTTACTTTTTTCGTTGTATAAAATTTACCAGTTGTACGGTCATCAAAAACATAAAGGCCCTGAGGAGTGAATATTGATATATTTTTAATGGCTTTATATGCCTTAGACTGGATTTTTCTAGTTTGTTTAGTAAGTACATACCTACAGATATTCTGCTGCAGGATCTTCTAATCACTATGTGAAACTAATTATTATTTTTTATGTATTATATAAATTGTTAATAAAATAAATTTTGGTAATAATGAAAGGTAGAAAATTAAAGGCGATATGTTTATAGGATTAACGTTATATTTATTTTTAATGGAAACTGGAAATTATTAATGTTATGTGCATACATGTCAATGTGCATGTTTCTTATATTTGTATAACACAGCCCTGGAAGAATTTTGAGAAGAGTCTGACCATTAAAAGAGCTGAATTCCATACCGTCACAACGCCCTGAAGTATGCAGTTGTTTAAGATCAAGGTTTTCTTCTGCAACATATAATCAGGTTGTTTTCAGAGAACTCTGTTTAAATACAGTAACCAGCTTTCAACATTTTCTAATGAGTGCATTTACTTCATTTACAGATAAATATTGATTCATTGCAAGGCGAAGCCCTTTAGAAACTTTAAGTATAACTGTCTCAAATGTCCTGTGGTACATCACTACAATATACTTTTCCAGATTTTGGTTTCTAGACACTGCAAAATAACGTGACTGCAACACCTTAAGTACGTTTTTATACTGTACTTTAAGGTTTCATATTTAATGTAAGACACTCTGCAATAGCTTGTGACACTGTAAATGCTCTAGTGGAAGGTATGAGAAAAGCCATTTTGATTTTCAAATAAGTAAGAGACTGTCGGTTGTGATGTTTCAGTGACAAACGGTCATTGATGGAAGTGAGGCATCACTCTTGGACACACTCTGTGAAGGTTACAAAGTTATTTGATTCTCAAAATAGAAATGTCAATTGTGAACTAGATTTAAAGTTAAATAGGAATTAATCAGATTGTTAAACAATTTTATTTACTTTTTAAATACATCTTTTACTGTCAGAACAAGTATTTGTCAAACCATGGAAAAATGTTTACTAAGCAAAGTTAAAATTATTAAACATTTTTATTAATTTATTAATTAATTGATTAATTTATTTATTTATTCATTTATTTTGTTAATGCTAGAATTCTTTTTATTTGAGAATGTAAAGATGCAAATTTTACTGATATCGCATCACTTTCTATCAAAGTGTTGAAAGAAATGTTAGCATTATGATATAAATATGTTTTTTTAGTATCTTAGGTTACACGTCTTAATATATTAATTAACATTGTTAAAGAACTCCATTTTAAAATAATTATGTATTTTTAATGAAACTGATGTACTTAAACTCATTATATATATTCAGAAATCTACTTCATAAAGTTTTTTTTTATCATTTTCTAAAAGTAAATATTATTTTATTGTCAAGATATACTGTGTTTAAATAATCTTACAAATGGTGCTGACACCGGCGTTTTGACAAATGTTTAACCTTGCTCCGATGTTCACGCTCAAGATGTGATCACAAGTTAATGGCAAGGATAACAAGGATGTCACATTAAATATGTTATTATTTATGCAGGTAACTTGTGCTATTCTTTTTCAAATAAAAGTACTTAAGAAACTACGCTGAGGTCCAGAAGCCTAAGAACATAAAGTTAAATTTCTAAGACAGATCAGCTGAGAGACTTAAAACAAAAACAAAATATGCAAGAGATAAATTGAAAGTCTTACTTTGTTGGTATTTTAGCCCAGTTTGAGTGAAAAGCATCGCAGCGCTTTTCGATATTGGGTCATTTTTTCACAATTAAAACTATTTTGGAATAACTGATAGAGCGAATGATCAGAAATTTTGCACACGAGTTATTGGCTTATACGTACATCATATGGAATATTCATCTCGAAAGGCTGTGTATGTCCAATCCTGTAAAAAAGAAACCTGTCAGACATGTCAGAGGAGACAACATTCTCGGCTTATTAAATATTGGACGCAATAAAGGAAAACAAAGGTATAGAAAAAAACCAACTACGATGAATATATCTGTATTTGTATTAAGAAAGCACTTAAATGTTCAAAATTATATAAAATTGACAAAAAACTATATCAGATTATAATTTCAAAGAAGAAACAACTCTTGAAATAAAGATGTTAGGGTTCCTTGTCATGCATGAGGTGAATTATTGCAAAGAACGAATATCTTAGGTCTAAAGAATAAAATATTTATAATAACAAAAATAATTGTTAAAAAATGTATATTACAGTTTTCAAAATGGAGATAATTTTAGATGTATAAATCTTATAACATATGATGTAGAAAATGATATCAATCATATTTTTGAAGTTCGAATTGAATACCTGAAGAAATAATTAAGTAACAGAAAATAAGGAAAATTCTAAGTTTAAGGGGAGATCATTATAGAAATATTCACACTAGCGTTATAAACATATGATACAGAAATTATATCAAACGTACACTTATAGTTTGAAGTAAATCCATTATGATTAAATAATGAAGTAAGAGTAAAAAACATTTTTTAAGGTTCAAGGGAGATATTCCTGAAAATATTGATGCTAGATAAATGAACCCTTTCATATGATATGGTTGATGATAAGGAGCATATATGTGAAGTTTTAAGTAAATCACGTTTGAAATATAGAAGTTACAGTTAAAAGGAAATTTTAAGTTCATGGGGAGATAATTCTTGAAGTGTTATTGATCGAGTTAAGAATCTTGTCACATAACATGTCAAGGAAAATTATAGTTCAAAGGGGATTATACTGAAAATATTGCGTCTCGAGTTATGAACTTTGTTACATATGATGAAGTTGATTATATATTTGCAGTTTGGAGTTTATCCCTTACAATATAAAGAAGTAAGAGTTATAAGTGATATCTTTATAGTTCAAGGGACGTTAATTGTCAAATTTTTGTTTTTAGAGTTATGCCCCTTGTCGCATATGATTTGCTTGATTATAGAAACATATATTTAAGAAATAACATCGGCCTGAGAGGTGTATATCGGCTATTTAACACCGGTTTGGAGTTTTGATGCGTAGGAATTGACCACAAAGGCCGTAGGCCTGAGTAGTTAATTTTGTCGCATCAAAACGACAAAACCGGTGTTAAATAGCCGATATACACCCCTCAGGCCGATGTTATTTCGATTCTAACACGATAAAATAAGGAAAATCACTAATGTTATTTTTTCAAGCGGAAATAACTTCCGGTGCCGATTTCCGTATAACGCTGTTCGATATTCGCACCCTACTGTTGCGAAGATATAGAAATTATCAAACAAAAGAAATATTAAGTCAAAAACGTTATTTTGTCAAGTTTTCATCAATCAAAACTTACGTCGTATTGTGTTTACATCAGTGCCCCATTTATAATTCTTGTATGTATGAAATAACGTCAGCTTGTTTACGAATGAGTTGTTTACTTAGGATGACGTCATTACGCTGCTTACGGATTGGCGCCGTTTTGTCAAAATATTTATTAACTGATATGGATCTAATATGTGGTGTTAGTGTATGTGAGATGTTATTTCGGTATTGTATGAAAAGAAAACATTATACGATCTGAAAATATAAATAAAAATGCTTTTTATTGTCGCTTTAAAATGCTTTGTAAACTATACAATCGAGGGTTAAAACATAACAGCGCATATACAAGTAGTCCCTAACCGGTGTTTATTGGCAGTTTAACACCAGTTTTTTCCTTCTTTGTCTATAGTGACAATACCATGTGAGTGTTAGAATTGCGTTTAAAGTTGATATCTTAAGAAATATAAGCTATATATTAAAAATATTTAACTGCACAAACACTTTAATCTGAAATCTGACCGAGGACGCAGGCGCCAGTGTTGGGATGAGTAGGACAGCACTATATATTTCGTATAGTCAAACTAAAAATGTCAATAGTGTCCTTTCAAGCAACGCTTAAAATGGTCGAATGTTCAACATCACGTAGGTTTGATAGAAATATCATAGTATAATAAATGAGGTGTAAGTTTTCTTTGAAAGTCACTTAATTGTGTGACACCGGATGCCATTAAGAACTGACGGACAAGGCGATTACTGTATTGTATCTTGACATGCACGACAAAATTTATTTCCTTACACGCTACCGCTAGTTATTTGTAAAGTATTGCATTAACAATGTTTATGATGAATATGTGGTTTGTGGTATGTGTGACGTTTATGAGAAATGTGTTGTATGTGACATGTATTAGATATGTGATGTATTCGATGTATGTGATGTATTAGAGTTATGATGTGTTTGTATAAGTGATATATCTTAGGTATGATGGATATTAAATGTATGTGGTGTATCTGATTTATAAGGTTTATGTGATCTGATTTTTATGGTTTACGCGTGTGTGATGTCTGTGAGTTATGAGCGATATGTGATGCATGTGGTATTTGTAATGTGTATAAGGTTAGAGTGATATAGGATGTGTCCGGTATTTGTGCGATTTATGTGATGTTTTTATAAAAAAATTATAAAAACATAAATTGTAACGAAATCTGTTTATTAGGATTCTGGGTAATTATATCAGTACAAAAGCAAAAAAGACGCTCCAAGATAAGTAAAAACTGAAAATAGCAACAACAACAACAACATAAAAAGAAATCGGGTGTAGAAATATAAAATAAGCATACTCAACCGGCAACTTTCTTATAAGTTATTGGTTATATTTTACTTTTTTTCCTTTCATGGTTCCTTTCATTGCATGCGAATTATGTAACATTAATAGTGTAAGTTTTCATGAAGTCCAATATAAACGTATTTTTGTATACTAATTGCATACGTATTATTGATTTAAAATGTAGTTGTTTTCGATCTATAAATTTACTAAATGTTGCAAGTATGTACACTTATATACATTTTTTCTAATTCTGTAAAATATCCATGTAATGAAAATAATTGTAAAATGTAACTGTGTTATTTATCACTCCAAGCGTTTTTTTATAAGTGTTTTCAATTGTTTTGTTTTACTTATTAAAAACAGGTTTTAATTGGAATGTGAATATGCATTTAAGCCACAGAGCACTTCTTTAAACAAGAAATTAAAGCTTAATCTAAGCGTTTATAAGGTAGCCAGTAAATGAATTCCAACGGTAAATGTCTGCCCATAAGTGGCTGTTGATCCATTTTGCCACTACCCTAACACTATCTCCCCTCTTAAGCCTAACGATGGTGTTGACAAAAGCACATCCAACGGCGGTATTCTCATAGGTACCCGAAGTTGCTAATATAGCGGGGCCTTTCACCATGGCAAACCTCATATGTTTGCCAGGTTTGCTACATAGATGAGCACTAAACGTGTAGAGACCAGCTACAGGTGCTGTGAATGCACCAGTCTTCGCATTATAGCCATTGCCTTCGTTCAATGTACACACGGGAAAAACCAGTGGCACGTTTAAGGGGAAAAATGCTTGCTTGTATCTCAATTGAGCCTGAAACGCAATCGGCCCTGAAGAGAAAAAAATATATTCATGATTGAATGATACAACTTTATCGAAAGTATCAACATCAGTGTTTCAAACACTGTAATATCTAATATTTGCTATATATTTTTGCTCTATTGCATGTATATGGCGCCTATACCACGTGACGTTTTGCTAAGTTTCAATAAAGTATTGAGAATTAACTATCGGCCAAAATTATTTTTAATATTTTGTTAGTTTTAACGGAATATAAGCTAGAGCCTGTCATTCTCAACTTTAACAAAGAGAGTTGCCTTGAAAAAAAAGAAATAGTTTAAGTGTCTTGAAGCCGCATATCTGACTGATCAAACAATCGGTTTCAATTTTCAATTTTCAATTTTACCCCCTAAAACATTCTATGTGTGTGTTAATAACTGAGAAACCGGTGTGTATATAATGTCCAGTTTGCATGTTAAGAATAATCCATTTTTAATTTTGGGGACATCAAGATGGAAATGAGGTCTGCCAGCTATAAAGAATCTGATCAGACCATGCGGATGTAGGGATTGGCCTGTCTCTATACAGTCAGGTGGCAAAGGCTAGTTACTTCCGTTCCTAGACAACTAAGGTTTAAACACTTATGAAAATTCAACATGAGAATAATGTATTTGAAATTGATTTCAGTGATCATATAACTTTACAACATTATTAAATAGATTATCTAAAGAGTTAGGTATATCTGACAATTATTCAACTGCTTTATTAATACGTATTTGCCATGGTCGTAAAATCGAAAAAGTCGAAATATTATAATTGATCATTTTTAGAATGCACTAAGGTCTAATCCTATAATTTTATATAAAGTAATTTTATTAAATCAAATCTACGCATCGTGAAAGAGTCATTAATAACTGTATTGACTTTTAATATGGCATCGTATTACTTATCTTTTCATTAAGTTGTTTATTGCATTTAAGTAGCGCAAGGATTATCCTACATCGTTTTTCAAAAAGGAGTTGTTGTATATTAATAAAGAAACCGCGTCTGCGAAATTGTTAAATATATAATTGATTCATATGTATGTAATCCACTCAAAAACTAAAAAAACATAAAATAAAATGGCTTTAATGCGATCGATAATTGACCGTATAGATAGTTTATTCTATAATCGTGATTATATGGTAATCACAATAATATAGTAAATAAATTGAGGAAGTTTGAAGTTGTAATTTCAGGTTCCTTTTCGAAATATAACAGGTACAAGTATACTTCTTATCTTGTCAACAAATGCTTGTGAGTCACCAGAACATTGTTGTTGCTCATTTGAAATTTCTGCATACGAGTCATGCTTAATCTAAATTAAAACGCAGCGCAAAAAAAACTTTAAACGTAGCAATAAGTGTAGGTAACCTACCAGTAGGAATTTTGATGGCATTCACTTTCAATTTAAACCAGGTCAGACACATTCCTACATGTAGAACCTTTACACTACTTGAAACGTAAGTGACTATCCTTTGCGATCAATATAGGGTTGGGTCACTCTAACCAAGCTCAATAATGTTGGCAGGTCAAAATAAAATTTTCATCTTCATATTCTTAAAGATGATAATGGACAGTTCAAAAATGGAAGATGAACAAGTCAATTTTAGAATATAGCAGAGTTAAGGTAATAAAAATGTGATGGAAAATCAACATTGATTTCATTATGAATTGCAGTCTTCAGTTTTATTAGTTGGCAATCATTTTACTGGCAACAAGTGTGAAAGCTCTTGTGCTTATGACTTAACAAATACTTACTGCTTTCGATTCCCCGGGCAACAACGTCTTCTTTGGTAATGTCACAGCTCGCAAACGAGGCAAATAGCCCCTGAAAACAGATTACGAAAATAAGTAAGTCACTAAAATACGGATAGATAATTGATAATTAGAATAAAAGAATAGATAGATTTAAATTGTGTATAAAAATTCTAAAGCTCTAACAGGTGTATTATACTTGTAGAATTTTAAACATTGTTCAATCGCTCTATTTTCATCTTCTTATGATGATAGCTAAAGAGAGTGTTTTAAAATGCATCAATATTATATAATTATAGTGCCGTCCGTGAATGATTGCTTAAGCTCGTTGACTTTAAGTCACTTGCCCTACACCACTGTTGGTCGAGTCCCACCAGGTTATTAGATACTTTCATGTCATGTTATTAATTATTTGATCTTAAAGTACTGCAATGACCGTTGGAACATTTTTTCAAAATTTCAATTATAGATGTTTAGACGAGTTCTCTGACAAGATAATCAAGACTGGTAATTAGTAAAATCAGACTTTACAGATTAACATGTAAATATAAATATAAGCAACAGGTTTATGAAATAATGACAAGCGCTAGGACCGGTTTAAAGATCTTAAAATTTTAACGATCGGTCTCCTTTCTACTTCCTAATACACAAAGGTATATCTAAGAATTGATTTTATTTCAATGATTTGTGACAAATAACAAATTACTAATTTCAAAAGGTATGCACATAAGATAAATCACTACTTTATCGCAATATCAAGCAAAATAAATCATCAATGCACTATGTTGTTAGAGCAAACGCGAACTTAATACACAAATCCTTAAACATGTCAAATGATGAAAATTAGAGAACACAGTTATTTTGTCAAAATATTCTTCTTTTCAAAACAACTTAAAAAAATAAAAATAATATCGTATGGCTTTCTGCAAACTAACAGCATAAATATACATGAACATAACGTATAAACTTTTGTCTACCTAAAGCATAATAACATTGAATTATAATGATAACGTAAATTAAATAAAATAAAATGAAAAGTAATAAATTAAATGTTTTAATTACCAAGACTGCAAACAGCGTAACAATCATAGTAGCTCCTGTCATGCTTTGGATACTGCGAAATACCAAAATGTTCGAACGCTGCTGCTCGCACAGGTCTTTTAAACTAACCATCCATCCCACGCTTTCAGTATATCAAAGAGATCCATCCCGGATCTATGTATTATGCAAAATCATATAAATTATTTTGACATTATTACGAAGTTCTAAAGTCCCGGATAGTAATAATATTTGAATATTAGATGTTTTATGCATCTGCGAAATTTGCTTAACAATAGTAGTCTCCATATTAAAAAAAACACACACACATACGATGCACTATAACTGCGCAATACCAAATGGTTGAAAGCCGCCGCTCGCACATGTCTTTTATGGTAACCCTCAATCCCACGCTTTCAGTATATTAAAAAGATCTATCCCGGATATCTGTTATAAAAATGTCAGACATTGTCATGGATGTCGAAATTTTATCCGGATATTATTTTTTAATAAATTGGCTAAATTTGCTTAGCAATCGTAGTCTCCATATTAAGAAAATACACAGCCACACACCTTCACACAGGCAAACGTGCAAACACGCACTGCACCATGCAAGCGGAATCCAAAACATCTTCAAGCAAGCGATAAAAACCTACCAAGATAATACTGTAAACCTGCAAATTTTCGCGACCAATTAATATTTGCTTAATTCATGGAAGTCATTGAAGCATGATTAAAAATTTGCAGTCATTTTGCTAATTTCTTGGTAAAACGTTTTGTTTTAATATCTGTAGACGTTGTAGATGAAGAGATATATATGATGGCTGATTTGGGACGCTTATGTGAGTCGTGCTGTCGCTAGCGATAGCATGACAAAGCGCCAAACGGTTTACAGTGAATATCTTCAACAATTGACAATGCATATATATAACTGTTGACAGTTAATATCTATAACAGTTGACAGCTAAAATTTATAACAGTTGACAGGGAATATCTTTAACAATTGGCAGTGAATATCTATAACAGTTGACAGTGAATATCTATAACAGTTGACACTAAATGTCTATAATAATTGACATGGAATATCTGAAACAATTGACAGGTAATACCTACAACAATTAACGTGGAATATCTTTAACAGTTGACAGTGAATTTCTTTAACAATTGATATGAAATATCGATAACAGTTGACAGTGAATATCTTTAACAGTTGACAGGGAATACCTACACAACTATTGACATGGAAAATCTATAACAGTTAACAATGAATATATATAACAGTTGACGGTAGATACGCTGTTTTAAATTAATGATATCTCAGAACATCATCAAAACCATTTTAACCATCCTTCTGTACTTTTTCTTATAAATGATATTTGATCAACCAAAATCTCCAAGGAGATATCACTTGTTCCCACAAATAATGGGTTCGAATCTCTGAAAGAACGTCATATTCTTTCATGTAAGAAAGCTATCCAATGATTTAGGAACGTTGACAGTTCCACTCAGGTGTCCGTTTGTGCCTGAAGTAATGTAAAGAGGGACATATGAGGTCTTCCTCGCCATTTAAGCTGGAAAGTAACAATATGACCTCTTCTGTATAGGTGAAACGAAACTTCCACCCACCCACCCCACCCCCCACCCCACAAAAAAAACAAATTGAAATGCGCTAGCTTCCCAACCGAATACAGTAAAAAAAAAACAGAAATTAAACAACAAAAAGTTATTATAAATTTAACGGCGCGTCAGTTGAAAATATACCTTTTTATTTTATGCTTTTCAGTGGATTTCTGATTTATCCGTGAAAACTATGTTTGATAATTTCACAGTGGAAGTTATCAAAATATAATTTTACACTTTTCAATGAAGAAACTACTTTTTTAAGATTTTTCCCATGTGGTACCTCAATTTTATTTTTGCTGACAATTCTGACAATGTCAGGCTGTTTAAAGAAAACGCAAAGCTGAAATTGATAAATAACTTAAATATCAAAAGTAATAAGAAGAAGAAAACTATTCATTCAAATTCCAATCACTAAATTTCGTCTCTAAATTTTTTGTTTCATTTTTACAGTCTGAAAAATACATTCCTTCCACATGCAAACTGCTCTTGATGACATTCGGGCATATTAAAGTATCCTACGAGTAATAACTGCCGTATGCTTTTTATGAAAAATTGAAAAGCAATGACAGCTACAGCTCGTAGAACAAGTAAACCACCCAGCGTTCCGAGCAAGTTCCAAGTCTTCCATTTTCATAGCTGCTTTTTTTCATGTTTTCACATCTGTCAACACTTATTTTTTGTCTGTTTCAATCCTCAAATATGTTTTCTTTCTTTTAAAAAGGTGTATGACTAACAAATCCAAATGATATCCCTCTGAATCAAACACAATTATTTTCCTCCCGTGAAATACATAACTTTAAAAAATGGCTGCCGCTTACATTTAACAAAGCCAGGTCTAATATAAATTCGCAGTAAGTAACAGAAATATGGATAGATGGTTGGAATTTCCTCCTACAAGAATTGTTTGTTTTTATTATTAAAACAAGCGATCATTCATATTTTTTAAACAAAATAAATAATATCACTGTCATTTAACGTTGATTGTCGGACTTATTTTTCAGCTCAAGACTTATTGTTTTCAATGAGAAATTCGAACTAAATGGGGCTCTCTATGGGGAAACAGATTTTAATATTTATGTTAATATTATGGAAATTTCGTTTAAACTTGTTTTTTAGCATTAAATAATAAGAAAATTTGTTTGTTTGTTGTGTAAGATGTAATTTTATTTCATCTCGTGAACTTTAAAAACAGTATTCTCACTCGTGGCTACGCCACTCGTGAGAATACTGTTTTAAAACCCACTCGATGAAATAAAATTTCATCTTACACACAAACAAACAAATATCCTCTATATCTCATTTGATCAGCTCGGACTGATCAGTTCGCTTAACGTTCCCACGCAGTAGATAGAAATTGAAAAAAAAATCCGGCGCGTTAGCTTAAATGTTCTCATTCACTTTGCACGCACATAGACATGCATTTTCGAATTTCTTGATTTTTCTTCTGTTGCAAAACTATTGTAAAATAAAGGCCAAGCAAATGTTGTTTGTGGCGTCAAAGTTATGATTATTTTATCGTGTATCGTCTTTTATTAATATTCCTAACTCTCAGATTCATGGGTCCACAGTATTTCAATCACATTCATGACCCTTACCTTTACTTTCTGGTCGGGTGCAGTTCATTTTTTGTCGCTACGTTAAAATCTCGACTATTAATGTACTAACTTACAGAAACAGAGACTTCCATTGGCCACAAGATGCGACGCATTCGATTCTAACACAGCGATTACAACCTATCATTTCCAAATGTCAAAACATTAGACCCCCTCTCGTTTTGGGATTATAAGTCAGAATACTAATAATGATGAAGTTTATAAATCAAATAAAACCGACTAATTCACTTTTGTGACTACCCTTTCACTGTTTACTATTGCCCCTTTTGAAAGCATACAGAAAAAAACATTTCGAGGTTTACGTTGTCATCGAATTTAAAGTTCTTAGACAAACAACCTGACGATACTTTTGACATAACTGGCATATATTAAATCGTTACAAATTGTCATGAGATAATTTCATAATATACTCATAGGCCCATTATCCTGATGAATCCGTAGGTCTCTTTTAACGGACAGAAGAGGAATCCGAACACCTGATATACCCCATTCCCTTCCCATTGATTAGATGGTTAGCCTGAATACATGTTATTTTTGTACAAGATCTCTAAATGATAATTAATGAAGAGCTTTATTTAAAACTGCCAGGTTAGGATGCCATAAGATCTTGAAGCAACATGCCTCTAGATTAATGATTATTTTCATGAAAGTTTTGAAAATGTATTTAAAAGCAAAATATTGTAAGGAGATCTATGTAAAGTGAATAACCTATTACAAACGGAGCTTAAAATCCACGTACAAATGCACAAATAGCCCTTACTGTGTTAGGAATGCAATGGATAATACTGCAAAATCAGTCATTAACCACATATAACATGTTAATTATTACGTGAACCTTGAAACTTTTTTCCTTTTCTTGCAATCTTAGTACTTTTCTTATGTTTGATTTTCTTGAAATATTTTTGCTCATCTTCAGGCATGCAGCTTTAAAAGTTAATCTACATACAAGTTGTCGCGACGTTAGTAGCATATTAATAATCATATAAATAGTATATAAATGCATTTATTTGCATATGGACAATTAACATTACATTAAAATACGAGCTTTCACATAACAATTCAAATGTACAAAAACTTATGCAATTATAAGCACACACTCAAAACTTATGTAAACAAGTTTTCCAGTTTATTATCTATGTATCGTGTCTCGTTTGTCATTAAAAATATTCTGAAAGAGCTTTACTCGTCAAGCAATTGCATTTTACTTTATAATATTTAGTATAATATAAAATGAAAAAAAAGCTTAACTCTTTCAAATTCATTTTATAAAGTTTTCAGTGCGTCAAATGAATAACATCTAACAATTGTTCAAGTTATAATGCAAGATTGCTCTTTGAATAATTTTGTAAGAGAAAATAAGTAAACATTAAAATTTTATATTCAAAAAAAAATATGATAATAATTCAGTTTGAAATATCCGGCTGAATATTTTAAAACTACTTTTCTTTTAAATAAGTGTCATCAGCTAGATTGAAATATTTGAGGGAAATGATGTGGATAAACATAACAACAAAATACGGCATGCAAATTAAATAGAGAATGTATAAACTTAATTAAATACGGTGCCCAGGAGGATGTTACAAAATATTAAAGTTACAATAAAACGTTGGGGGATACGAATGTACGCCAACAGTTGTTTAGATACGGGTATGGCTATATCTAGACGAATCAAGACAAAAAGTCTTAAATATGTAATATATCTTGTCTTCTTAGACATATTTCCGACTAATTGGTAGACTGAATATATCTATATCTATACATTTCAATAACAAATATACATTGTTTTTTATAAATGGAAAAACCGTTCAATTTCGGATTTCACAGTTAAACGTGGAATATATGTGGCATAATGGTAATTTAAGATCAGAAAGAATATGTTGTTGCCACCTGTTAAATAAATAGAATAATGTTTTATGGATAGCTAATTGTAAATTTTAATCTGTTAAAATGATAAGTTACTCAACTTTAATTAAAGAAATACAATGATTTTCAATTTGCCCAATATTTAACAGAATAACACAACAACACAAATAAATATGTTTAATTGGTCTAGAAATGATGCTTAGGACCAGTAAATATGAACATTTAATGCAAACCGATTGCTTATTGGACAATAAAACGTTGTATCAAAACTGAAGGCAATTTGACCTATTTCATCTACACGACTTTCATCAATTGGTGGATACATCACTCAAATGCTTACATAATCTTGGCACCAGATTTATGCTTTTTTCATGAAAATGCAAAAAAAAATATTAAAAAAGTTAATTATTTTCACGTGAAAAAAGGAATGTAATTAACACATTGCAAACGTCACTTTCAATCCACGTAAATTACCAAATAAATTAAAAAAATTCAGACTTAAATAACTTACTGGGTTAGTCACGTAGAAAGAATATGATGATAAATACTGCAAAATCAGTCATATCTTTGCATGTAACATGTAAAGTATTGCTTGAATTATATAAAAAGGTTTAACTTTTCTTAAAATCTTAGTTATTTTTTTAATTTACTTTGGCTAGTCTGGGGGGCGTACAATTTTAAATTAAATTCAATTCAATATATTTATTGCATAAAACATGCAGGTATACATATTTAAAGCAAACGATAGATGAACTCCAATGGTAAAATCTTTGTACATTTTGTTATTTGACATTAAAATGTCAGATCATTTAAACTCGTAAAATCCCAAAGATAAATTAATAAAATGTTGTGCACCACAATAATTTCAAATAAATGCGTAAGTGTACAAAAGCCAAAATGGTGCACAAAGTGAAATTTTGGATGTTGAAACTCCCAAATGAAGGAGAGCTGGCTATTTATATGCCACAGTCCCCACACTATCCACAACTTTGTGGAAAAGAACTCTCGACAAATATTTTGTAGACTCCGCGTTTTTTATTTTTTTTTCGGGGGGGGGGGGGGGTGACTGCTTCACAATTTTTTTTCTGTGAGACCCCTAAATATTTTCCGTAGGCTCCTACTAAATAGTTAAGTGGGGTATCTACTTTCGCCGAAATAGGCACCTAATCAGCAAAATGCATAAAGTATAACTTGTAATAAGAATAAATATATCTCAATATCACATCTCTTAATTACACTATTAGTAAACAAATCATCAGAAAGGAGTAAAGTACTATCCAATGCATTCAATACGTAAGTCAACGAAACAGTCCAACATGGCCAACATGGAAAATATACATTACAAATTTCGTAAATATACAGTGTTTTCAATTATATCCAGATGGATTCATCTACACATATTAAATGAGGCTGCATCATATACAATCAAACTTTAACATCTAGGATGTGCAATAGTACAATAAACTATTTTGACAGAAGTCACGAAACCACATGATTCTACCATGAATAAAATTTAGGGAAAAGCTTCTGGATTCAGAAAGGATTAAAGTTCTGGCACAATACGTAGATTTAAGTTGATGTCCTTTGAACACCGTACAATCAAATGGGCAGACAGCAGTTCAATCGTCGATAGCTGTACTAGTATGTTCATGTCGGCGCACGAAACACAATTGACTGACGGTAAGTATTCATCTATTTTTAACATATCTCCACCGTGTTCGAGTAAATCAATGTTATGGATTCATAGTCATCATCCAAAGGAGCATACTAACAAATTTCTGGCCCTGTGCAAGCTTTACTTCACGGGAATTTTGAGTGAAAATAATCACACTACCCGATGAGATGCGGCATTTTTATTTTTAAGTCGCAAAAACTTATATTTTCTCAAGATTATAAATCCTTTTATCATACGATTCGTAAACGTCAACATTTCGTCATTGAATATTCAAAACCATACCTTCAAAAATGTTTTTTCTGTTAAAGTTATAGGGTATTTAAGTTTGAGTGTCATCAAAATTTTAATAACGTCATCAGCCGTTCACCTCTTTTTGATGATGACATCGACGGCTATTCATCGGCGAAAAGAATAACGATGAAAGCCGTTCGAGTAAACAATTTCCAGCGCTTTTGTGCTACAGTAACTAGGAAAGAGTAAAAAAAAAATATTTCAAATATTACTTTATTCATGATACTTTTAAATAGAACACAACTAGATTCACCTGTAAAAGCTTCACAAATGAAAGTATAAGTAGATCTAATAGTGAAATCACAAAAGGTAAAATTTCTAGGGCATTACAATACGTGTCCCGGTGTCTCAGTCTTAAACCAATATATAAAAAAGTCATTTACGTGTGTGTCCTTACTTTTCTAAATATGACTTACTATTTGTAACAAATGGATAACGAGTTAAGTCCTTTTTTCATACTTGCGTCTGCACTACGATTAAAAATAAAACGATGCATTTAAATATTTTTGTACTTTCCGAGTAAAGTGTTCGTGATAAAGACCATCGAGGTGTTGCTTCTAAAATTTCATGTAAACGTTATTCTTGTAGAACAATAAGTCGATGATAGGTAGATGGGATGTCCTTTAGGAAAGCATTTGTAGATTTGTGTTCTCTCCTACCTTTATGAAAACATTTGTAGATTTTCTATCATACACACTTAATTTATTGTTGACAGTTTAGATGTCATTTTTTTTTATTATTAGAGTTTATCCATTTAGTCACACACAACGTAACATTTTCAGTTATCAATGCATGTATTACTTTACACACAAGTAATATAGATTTTAGAAATATTTTTCCAGTAAATTTCTAAATGGTTTGCATTACACTACATCTCGTACTTTTTTCGTACTTTTTTATAATCATTACTAACAAATGTGTACACAAAACGAAATTGTAAACTGTGAGCATAAGTATTTGATTTTAAACAGATTTTGGAACTTGTGTACAATGATATTATCATAGACAAATATTTTAATTTTTTTAAAACTATTAATCATTTATATGTCTGGTTTTGTAGACTCTTATTAAAAGTTTACACAAAAGAAAATATTTTCGACTCTTAAACATTTAGAAAATGAAAATTGATCGATTGGCAAAACGACTGTTGAACCGTGTTAAATTAATTATTCATAAAAAATTCAATGCTTCAAAAGAATAAAAATTACATTTTTTCAAACTAAATTGATAGTTTGCTCTTTATACATTCTTTTAAATAAATAGATTATTTTGTTATGTTGATATAAAGTTTTAAAACTGCGTATGAGTTGATGAAAATATTAAACATAAAAATAACCTTGAAAGATCCAGAACAGTTTTGTTTTGGGGTGTTGTTGTTGATTTTTCTCTTTGTTTTGAAGTTTTCTTTTAGAATTTGGTTGTTATATTGAGTGATCATGAGCTATAAATATCTTAAGCAAAGGATGAGAAAGGATAATCATCTGCCTTAGCATTTCAATGAACAATTAAAGAAAACATTTAATCGTCGTGATCGCTTTATAAAGCTTATATTGCACTGTATGTTAACTAGTATCAATTGTCACACAAAATTAAAACTGCTCCATGCTCAATGTGTGTGGTTGATCATGAATCGAAGATGATAGTGTTAAATAATAACTGCCACACATGCAAGTTCGACTTTCTCCAATGTCAAAGTTACACAAAAGGTTAAAATCATAAATTCATTTTGAACTGATTTAGACATTGAAGGCAGAGAAGAACTTAGAGAAACCACATCACCACCTAATAGGTTGAATTTATTTAATGAAGTCTACTAGTTTTGATTATTACAATGATCTTCATCAGGACAAACAATGGTTAAAATTCATCATTTAAGTACTCAAAAAGAGGTAACAAAAAGTCATGTGCGTTACTATACAAATAATTTAGATACTGTACGGCGGTAAGGTAAATTGACATTAAATGGCATTAGAATTGTGTTTGAACTTCTTGCGACACAGTTAAGACCATGTGCGGATTTTTATGTGTCTTTTAGATAAACAGCCGTGATTGGAAACCACGCCTGTGAGCAGCAAGTATCTCTAAGTAAGTTATTTTATACGAATATATTCAATTCAAAAACGAATCATAACAAGACAAATTACATGTTCGTATAAATTTTTTCAATAATCAAAAATTCCTCTTTTTGAAACAAATTATTGTCATTTATAAAGAAATGTTTAAACAACTTGATAATAAACTTTATCACAAGAGGGACAAAAAACAAAGATGTTTAACTTATTTATGTTTAATGATATTTTGGCAAGATATGGCCATGGCTGACATAAATTCTAAAACATGATACTAAAAATACAATCGCAGTGTATGTAAGATTCAAATATCGGGAACTATTTAAACTTAGATTTCAGAAACTGCAGTGTAGTCGTAAAGAAGTAACTCTGGATCAATCGGAAGTACGTTTAGATAGTAGAGTAGCTCCGGAACATCGTGAGCTAAACATAAGATGTGAATCGCGCTTCCTTATAAGAAAGGCTATATGGCGATCACATTACTCCGGAAAATCGGGAGAAGAACTGGCTCCGGACTATCGGAAGCTTGTAATATTACTCCGGAAAATCGGATGCCGAACACCGGAATATCGGAAGTAATTAAAATTACACTGCATTAATGTATTTAAAATTCATCAATGATGATAAAGCTTAATATTTACCCTGCGATTGTATGAAATATATATGAAATGTGTTATACATAAACATAATGTAATGTTATAAGTGACAGTACGAATCGACATTAAGCCGACACGACATTAAGCCGTAGTTATAAGTTCACTGTATATGTCCATGCATATGTCTATTTCATAATAACGTAAATCTCACTATAATTCTTTTAGAGGGTGATCTGATGAAATTCTTATAATGTATGTAAAACATGCACTTAACACATTATGATTATATAACTTCAGCAACATGACAATGAATGTTCCTTTGCAGTAATGTCCTATATTCACGAACAAGACATCAGATCTCAAAAAGCCCCTCCAACGTCAGCCATGACAATGTTGATGCAACATGCACATATATAAACGTAGTTGACTTGTGCAGCAAATTCTGAAAAATAAAATTAGAGGCAGAGAGAAGTTTGTTCATAAAATTGCATATAATATGGGTTGGATGGGTAGGAAATAAAATATTTTTCTCCAACCTTTCTCTTCTATGTCCAAACGAAAAAGAACCCCGTTCTCAGCTTTTGGCTACGCTATGATGAAATTCATAATGACGTCACAAGTATAGAGGCTATTCGTTGCCAAAAATCTAGCCTTTGAAACTTGACAATGCATACTTCGGTTCTACTAAACAGATTATTAAAAATCTAATTGTCGATCCGAGAGTTACATACTGCACTGGTATTAAGCATTTTGATTATCTCGATTTGATAAAATGAAAGCAGTTAACATGCAACTTAGATAAATTGCAAACTGTATTTATAAATGTATACTTTCAACTTTGCGACATGTAGAAATGTAAACGATAGAACGTACACAATACGTTTAATGCTGTGCATCATGACGTTGAGAATGTAACTGCATCAACTTGACACACTCAGGTTTACAACACCACACTTTACATTCTAACGCGATTAACATTTGTAAACGATTTTGCAACTTCCATATATGGAATTATCACGGAAATAGACGAAAATTAATAGGCGGAGCCAATTTCACGAAAGCAGAATATAAAGAGAGGTAACTCTTGCTGGTACAAAAATATTTCAAATTATATAGAAATTGTTACATCAATCTTGACTTTGAACATCCTCTGATTTTGTTAAAACGTATTCTAGTACAGGATATTCAAGTAATGCAAAATTGGTTAAGATATAATGTAAAAAAGTAACAACGTATATACTGATAATGAGCATAATAATATGCAAAAACTAAAGTTGGTGCAATAACATAAGGAAATGTTTCCCATATATAATGACATACATCACTGTTCATTGATATCAACAATAGGGTTTTGTGAGCCACGGCAATACTCTTTAGCATATCTATTTTTTTTACCTTCAGCAAATAGTACTAGAATGCGATACATGGAAGGCACTTTTGGCAACACGAATAAAGAGAACTGAACAATAAGCATGTGCCTTCTTTCTTTAAAGGGCTATGTTGGATTGTAGTGACCAAGTGTATAACCACGAAACAATGCAAAGTTTACTATCGATAATTCCGTTGTATAACCAAAACTTGTGAATTTGTCCCATTTTAATGTTGAAATAAATATTCAGTGTATCCTGGCAACTCTGTTAACCTCCATTGGGAGGTATTTTGAGTCATAGGATGTGATTTAGCCTTTTATTGTTAAATATTTGTAAGCTGGCGTAGGTTAAGGTCTTTTCATGCATTGTGCTGAATCAATAGCACCTCTAAAATATGTGTATACATGCTACATGCTGTCATTAGCTGTTACCTAGATTTGCTGTCTAGATTTTCTGTCTATATAATCAAAAACAGAGAACTACTGTTATGTACATGAAATACTACACAGAATATTTATTAAGTTTTGTAGGTGATGGCTTTCTAAGAGATAAAATAAACAAGGTATACATAAATTGATAATCAACATACATACATTTGGACTCATTTAAATTTTACTTATTGAAAAACAAAATGGGAAAAATGGGAAAATATATGGTAAAAATAAAAAGTTATGTACGAAAGGGTACATACAACTTTGGTTATAATTTTACTTTTGTTAAAAGTTTTTTTCTTGTCAAGTCATACGCTAGAAATAAGGCTACTAATATAATAGTACTACTAGGAAAGACAACAGCCAGAATTTGGTCTGTATTAGTAATTAGTCGTATCAAAATCTCTATCAGATGTTGACATGAAAATTTGAAAGTGGTAAGGTAGCAGCTTAACTGTAAATGTTACTCATTCCTATGCAAATTGGAATACCATCAGTAAAATCTATTTGTCGTTGAATATAGTCTTTTCAATAGTTTTCACTTCCTTGAAAAATATTTAACCTCAGACAGTATGTAACCTGGTGTTTTTTTGTTGTTTTTTTTTGGGGGGGGGTTTAAGTTTCTTTTTCCAGGAAATGTGGTGTCTACAACGTTTTAAAACGTATATGCCTATATTCCTTTAAAGTCCGCTGATGTTGATTGTAGAACTAAACACCTAAAATGTATGATAAACGGAAACTACGCCGCTTCTTGTCGCCGACGGTAAATACCGAAAATGAGCGGAAAATACGTTTATTTACGATGATTTAGTGGGCGGGGAAATGGGCGGAGCTTATTTTATCTCCTATTGAAAAACGTGTAAAGCTGGATTATGCTGATCTGAATCATGATGGTTCGACAATGTAAAGCTAAGAATGTAACTTCTGTTTTGAGTATTCGAACACTTGGTATTGCTACTATCAGTTAATGTTTTGTCGTTTAACAAAATGTATTTTGTTGAAATGCATGTTTACAATGTTAAATCGGCAAACTCAATCGAAGTATGCAACATTGGAGTTTACATACAAAGAAATACAATTGTATTTTTTCCATTAACAAACTGTTCAACTCAGATCAACAAGACTGGATTTTTGGCAACGAATAGCCTCCATACACAAGTACCATGCGGCCACCATGTGCGTAATTGAAATACGGTCTGAAGATTTGTCGCCCTTGGTGATAACTACTATCATTTAAAGACACGATTGAAATGACATGAAATTTATCACAAGAGGAACAAAAAACAAAGATGTTTAACTTATTTATGTTTAATGATATTTTGGCAAGACATGGCCATGGCTGACATAAATTCTAAAACATGATACTAAAAATACAATCGCAGTGTATGTAAGATTCAAATATCGGAAACTATTTAAACTTAGATTTCAGAAACTGCAGTGTAGTCGTAAAGTAGTAACTCCGGATCAATCGGAAGTACGTTTAGATAGTAGAGTAGCTCCGGAACATCGTGAGCTAAACATAAGATGTGAATCGCGCTTCCTTATAAGAAAGGCTATAAAGCGATCACATTACTCCAGAAAATCGGGAGAAGAACTGGCTCTGGACTATCGGAAGCTTGTAATATTACTCCGGAAAATCGGATGCCGAACACCGGAATATCGGAAGTAATTAAAATTACACTGCATTAATGTATTGAAAATTCATCAATGATGATAAAGCTTAATATTTACCCTGCGATTGTATGAAATATATATGAAATGTGTTATACATAAACATAATGTAATGTTATAAGTGACAGTACGAATCGACATTAAGCCAAAGGCGCAGCTCATTTGGCTGGAAAGTAGCCAACAAAGAGCAAGCCCCGCCATAAGAAACTAACCGTATGGGGGTGATGATTCGGAAGCTGTCACTGTCAGCCGGATTTAAATATGCTACGGAAAACAGTTACTGCCTGTAAAGATGATATTGTAAATCCCATTCCTGAGAGTGTCAACCATAATGTCAAGACCCTTAACAGATAAATGAACATTGTCTCTAAAGAATTCCTGAGACTCTTGAATATCTGGATACCTAATATATCCACCACCGTTTGTAATACAGAATTTAGCCAAAGAACTATTTAATCTTTTTCTAGCCTTATCCAACTTTTTGTGGTTATTTTCTCCTCTATAATATAATCTTGGAAGAACCCCGGACCAGACAATACGTACTCCAGGAATACTAGATAATACAGTGGCAAAATTATTTGTAAGCAGCCATTTACAATAGTCTAAAGGGGTTTTCCCAATATTATTGCCTCCACAATGTATAATTATGGCAAACGGTAATTTATTACGATTCAACATTGTATTAAACTCGTGAAGTAGGCCTTCAGTCAGCAAACCAGGCTTAAATTTCCAGGTAATAATTGTATTTTCTAGACCGAGGTCCTTCCCATACCTTTGTTTGGCATGATAGAAGGCATCCCTTATAATAGATGAACCAATAATCCACACATGTGTGTTACTTATTCCTAATAAAGAAACATTTAGGTTAAACTTTTAAGTATTTCAAAATAGTAATAATAAGGTTTAAAGTATATATCATCATTATATTCTTATATGATCTTTATTTTTTGTTTGTAAATTATTTTGTCAAATAACTTAAAATTGTTCCAATTTCCAATGCACCATACAGATTAAGGGCGAATATAGCCTTTAAAAGCAGGTGATTTCCATCTGCCTATTTCCTTTATTCTCTGCTCAGAGACACCCTTAGAATATAAATATGTGGCACCCCCTATTCTAAAGGAGTGAGATTTCAATTGATGTGTTGATTCCCCAATAAATGAAAGTGACTTATTTAGCATATATCTGAACTGATAAGGAGTCAGTGGTGTACCATCAATGTGACAAAGAAATTGCACACTTGTGTTTGGTCTTAGTCTTTTATATGACCACAGGGTTTCGGCAAGAGAAATATTATCAAAGGAACAGTTATTCAAATTTATATTAACAGAAGTACCTATTCCATACTGATCTGTTTTAGAGTGCCTGAAATAAATAACTAAATGACCTTGTACAATTTGGAGGTCACTTGCATTGAATTTAATTTCACTTACTCTGAGCAGACAAAAGAAAGCCATCAGGAAAGCCAACTTAAATAATATCACCTCATATTGGGACATGCATATATGTGACAAGCTATAAACAATTCTTGACAATATTCCTTTTTTTCATCTGTATCTTTTTCATTCCATCCAACATTTTTCTTACTATAAAAACCTTAGTCATGTCAACCATGCTGTTTATTTTGTTTTTGAAACTGATAGCTGAAATATGGCAGTTTACAGTTTTATATGCATATCCCAATTGAGACATAAAGGCAATATATTCTATAATGTGCTGTAAAGTTGGCGGCCAAACATGTGTATATCTCATTCCAACCCTAAATCTTTCAAATGAAGAAATAGCTGTATTATAATTTCTGTTTGTGTTCAATGCAAGGGACCCATTCACCAAGCTGTACACTTCCTGTTGAAAAGTATCTGAAATTCAACAGGAATTTTTACAGGTGTTTTTGATGCTTCAGGGGGAAGCAATTTGAATAGTCTTGACATTTGAAATCTACTAATTGCATCACATATTTCATTTTTGGCAGATGGTATATGCATTGCCTTAATTTGAATATTGTTGAAAAGAAGTGTTAACACTAATTTCCGAATTAAGAACATAACTTTTGGGTTTTTTGATGATTTCTTATTAATAATATGAACCAAACTTTCATTATCACAATGAACTATGATCTTTTTTCCCTTAAATTGTCCAGTCCATGTTACAAAACTCAACACTATAGGTATTAACTCGAGAAATGTAATATCTCTTAAGATTTCCTCTCCCCAAAAATCTGGCCATCTAAGACATAGCCACTGACCGTCCAGATATGCACCACAGCCTAATGACTTATTACCTGCCGCATCAGTAAAAAGATTTAGGTCGGTGTCTGTAACCCAATCTATATCACTAAATATTGTTATCCCGTTAAAATTTTTCAAAAAATACAACCACATATTTAAATCCTCCCGCATTTGGTTATTGACACGAATAAAATGGTGTGGTCTTTTTGCATGAGCCATAGCCTGATATAACCTACAATTAAATGCCCTGCCTGATGGGATAGCCTTTGTAAAGAAATTTAGAATCCCCACTATAGACTGCAGTTCCTTCAGCCTTATTTTTTTAGAACCTATAGCATCTAATATAAGAGATTGAGCTTTAACTATTTTCTCTGATGGTAAGCGGACAGTCATTTTTTGGCTATCAATTTCAAGACCTAAATAGGTTAGAACTGTTGACGGGCCTTCAGATTTTTCTTCATTTATAGGGATATTCATATCCTTGCAAACATATTCAAAATTAGACATGAGTGTTAAACAATCATTTGAATATGCTTTACCCGCAAAGAAAAAGTCATCCAAATAATGATCTATGTTAGAGTTATGACTGAATGTTTGTGTGGCCCATTGTACAAATGTTGAAAATTCTTCAAAAATAGCACAACTAATTGATGCACCTTGTGGTAACATCTTTTGAACCCAAAATCTATTATCAAAATATATACCAAGCAAATCAAAATCATCAGGGTGTATTGGACATAGATTGAATGCTGATTTTATATCTCTTTTTCCCATTAAAGCCCCCTTTCCGAGCCTGTGTACTATGTCAATTGCCTTGTCAAAACTTGAATAATTCACTGAACATAAATTTGGATCTATAAAATCATTTACTCCTAAGCCTTCAGGGTGAGACAAATGCGTGATTAGCCGCCAACCGCCAGAATTCTTTGGAACAAGACCAAGTGGATTTACCCTCAGATTAGAAAATGGAGGGCTATTAAAAGGTCCCAACATTCTTCCTAATTCTACTTCCTTTCTCAATTTTTGTAGCAAAACATCATGGTGCATGGAAGCTGATTTAAGGTTTTTTGAAAAAACAGAATAATGCGGTCCAAAATATTGGAGTTTGAAACCTTTTTTGAAACCATCTAATAAAAAGCATGCTTTTTCTTGATCATAATTACTGAGCCATTTACTTAGGGAGCTCGTGTCTATTGGTGTTTGACCTAATACCAAAAGGTTTTTGATTAGGTTGGAATCTTGGCTGGATCTCCGGTCTGAATAATCTTGGTCTGAAAGAATTTGTTATACTGGTTGAACCCCGACCCAGGTCTGGTCGAATGGAGGGTGCACGACATACATACGAAGGATGATTGCCCCTGCATTTTTTACACTTGTGCTGATAAAAACAACCTGGTTTGTTACAAAAGCCTTTTGTATTGTAATCAAAACATATATTTTGGGTATACTGTGGTACAAAAGCATTATGATTTGCTGTCATTGTAATGAGCCAAAGCTCAGCATCAATTACTGACCAAGGCGTCCCCGGATGTTGCGCAATATTTCTTCTAAACATTTTGTCATATTGCGCCCAACCAGATGGGTTCCTTTTAGCAGCTAAACGTATTGTATTTAAGTACTGCAATAAATGTTTAGCTAATAATGGACTTTTTGTAACCATAATATGTATGTAAATCAAAAAGGCATCAGTCCACCTTTCGATATTTAAAACTGTATTTTTCTTAATGGCATTAGATAGCACCAACTCGCCATTCACTAATTTGATGGATTGTTGTCCATCTTCTTCTTTTTGCAAGAGAATAGATAAATCAATGAATTCCCCCTGCCATATTTGTTCTTTAAGTTTTTTGGGAATATGAAGTGACAAATCATTACAAACAGAATTGAAAGGCGAGTTAGTATTACTTATCGAATTATTATTAAAACTATTACCCGATATAGCAGTCTGGTCAGCTGATGCAGTCTGAGCCTGTGGTTGCCACAAGGTATGTTGTTGTATTGGATTACCACCTGGACAATATGTAGGTGCTATCTGAGCCTGGGGATAGGTGTACATTCCATCTTGGCATACTGGACCATAATTAACATGTGTTGTCTGTGTCTGATGTTGTGGATAATAATAACCTGTTGTGTCCAGGTACTGAGTTGTGCCAATATTTTGTTCGTAACCAAGGTTATATTGGTATCCATAGTCCCTTGTAGATGTGCCCAAATAAGGAGATGTGATACAGTGCACATTGGGTGTTATACCCTGGTTATCAACACCTGTGAATGAAGGACCACCTGAGAATGAACTACATGTTCCATGTTGTTGTTCTGTAGAACAAGACATGTTCTGACTGGTGACTGGATTTGTTTCCGATGACAATGTCTGATTTTGTATAGTGCTATTTAGAGAATTGTCTGTGACCATAGAGCACTGTACACCGAAAGAATTCTGCTGCATACCTGCTGTATTACTATTAGATCTAATACGTTTTGCCCTTTTCTGGTTGACTTGAGTCGCCAATAGTGCTCTTTTCCGTGGCATTTTTCAGTCAAATACAAAACCATTCAGAAGGATATATGAAAAAATAAAAGATAGACTGTAAATTTACACCAAAAACAGCAAATTCATCATAGAACTATATCGAATTTGGTTTAGGCAAGTCTGAATCTATTTTGTATAAACTTCAGTAGATCTACTGTATAAATGTTAACAGTTTTCAGCTATAAAAATTTTATGCGCCTTTTCGTAGATCTTATACTAATTGCCAATGCGATAACATACGGCCTGAAAATTACCAGGTCCGAAAACCCTGCCGGCAAACCTGCTTCAGCATCACTTTAACTTTCTTTGACCTATAGACTACATAAGACAAGCTGGAATAATCTCAAATTATTTGTCCAGCTAAATATTTCATTATACTTACACCCATTTAATAGGTTTTTATCAAACCGTGTCTATTTCTTCAGTCAACATTCATTTAGATCTGCCTCCATTGCTAAGCACGAGGCCAAATTTTTTTATTTTTATTTTAATGTAGATCTTACATTCCAGCTAAATCTGATGAACTATAGTCTTTTCCTGACAAAGCACAAAACATTTTTATCTAAAGAAAGTAAATTTAGCTTCTTTTTTTACAGAAATTTAAAACAAATAGAAATAAAAATAAAATATTTTTCTCCAACCTTTCTCTTCTATGTCCAAACGAAAAAGAACCCCGTTCTCAGCTTTTGGCTACGCTATGACGAAATTCATAATGACGTCACAAGTACCATGCGGCCACCATGTGCGTAATTGAAATAAGGTCTGAAGATTTGTCGCCCTTGGTGATAACTACTATCATTTAAAGACACGCTTGAAATGACAGGAAATTTATGCTGGTGGTCAAAATGGAAAGGACTTAAAATGTTTTTGGTTTTTTTTGTTTGTTTTGTTTTTGTTTTGTTTTTTTCTTCGAAAATTGCAACCATTTGATGGATGTCCGGACAGAAACGTGTATACAAAATTTAAGATCAACCGTTCACTGTATTATTTTTTTTTCAGGATAATCATATGTTGAATTACGAAAATAAAAAGAAGAAAAAAGCGTTGTTTTTTTTTACTCAAATCAGACTTAGAACCCCCTTCCCCCCCCCCAAAAAAAATAATAGTAATTTTTAGTTCAATTGTAGGTTTGTGTATTCCTATATAATATTGTAGACTTTTTGCAAGAAATTCAAATTTTATGGTTTTTATGATTTAAGATTATGAATGGTAATATTTACAAAACAAAAAAAAATGGTTCAGGAACGCGATGTGATATTACACAATGAAATTCTGCATATATATTTTGACAACATGCACGCTGTTTAATCAGATCAGGCAAATGAATCAATTCATTAAAAATAAAAAAACAACCATGAAATTACAGTTATTGACAAAATTATGTGACACAATTTTTCTATAGCTAAATTCTTAAACAATGGTATCGATCAATTAAAATACGTAATGTCAATGCAAAATAATCGCAATTTAATATGACACATACAAGTACAAATGTTGCTGCAATGCAGCAATTGAGAAGCTCCGCACAAAAAATGCGCTCATTACAGATACCTTACCAAATTATTCCTACGCACAGGTCATGTTATATTCAGATTAAGTACTATTGTAGATTTTTTACGAATGTTTTGTAAACCATTTTTTGCATAATTATACTTATCTTATGCACTGTCCATAATTAAAAAGAGGGGAAAGATATTTAATATAAAAAAATGCTTTCACTGATGCCTACCTCGTAAGGAAAGTAATTCCATTGAATACAAACAAGTCTTACAAGACTTGTAAATGTTATGTGACATGACTGTACTATGTTCTGTTTGTGTCACTACTGTAGTCAGTAGCATAAGATGATAAAAATATCAAGGTCTGTTTTTTTTTTGTATTATTATAATTGTAACAAATATACAAATAGTAACAAAAGGGACTTATATTATAATATACTAATATAACATACATTTTTTTCATGTCAAATTAAAAAAAATGGTTTCTTTCAATACTGAAAGTAGAATACACTCTGGAATGTAAAAATGGGATGAATTTCAAAAAAACCAAATTCAGGAATTTTTTGTTTGTTATACACGCGTAACATGGTGATACAGTATTTATTAATATAATAGAAGACTGTTACCTTAATTTTAGTCAGGTATGAGGAAATTGACTAACATCATGTTCGTGCGAGTCAAAGATATAGAAGCTATTTGACATTGGTGATATATATTAACAACAATCTTTTGTTAATTGATTTATTTGGAGATCAATCTACTTAATTGTTGAATTGCTTTAAACCCATTCATAAAAAACATAACATTTCATGTTCAAAATGCAGATCAAATCAATGATGCTATCTATCTATAGCCTATGCTTAATGAGGGTCCATCCGCTCGTAAGGCCACAAAATACAGGTTTCGCTGTGGCATACCCTTCGCAGGACGAACTATTTTTCACGGACGCGCACAGTCACGGACAGGTCGCGTCACGACAAAATGCCTCGAACGAAATTAAATAATTTATCGTTTTCGAAAGAAAATACTAAGAAGCTCACCAAAATAGTGTTGGAACCCATAAGTTTATGATGCACCAATGACAGATTAAAACAACAACATCTGGTCTTCGGTTGCTAAAGAGATGTTATTCAAAAACCTAACTGGTATTCAATCTTTTTCCTTTTTCTTTTTACCTAATTCTTTGATGTTACGACTGGATTTGGTATTTAAATGAAATTATATCATTTCTAAAAATAATTAGCCTCTGTTCGCTATTCTATAAGAAAATAACGTACACGTGGAATAATACTCACGGACATACACCGGACACGGATGCGGGTCTCGTACCATTGGAATAGTGGCCAAATGAGTTATTTTTGTAGCACAAAGTGGTGTGCTATATCACTGTCGCTTCTTCTTCTAGTTAATGCTTAATGAGGGTCCATCCGCCCTTTCGGGCACAAAATGCAGCTTGCGCTGTCGAGTACGGACCCCGGACATGTCACCAGTCATGTCCTTAAAGAGTTAATTTTGAAGCACAAAATGGTAATAATTTACCTCCATGCAATTTCCACGGAGTATTAGCCAAAGATATGAATTTTGAGCCAAAAGTAGGTCACTGTACGGCGGTCAATGAGAACCTAAATGTACAGTAACCTGTGACAATAGGAAAGGTGTTTAGCCCTGAAAAGGGCTGTTGGTGCCAGCTATAGGCCTGCCTTACAAGCCGTCTATCTGTACTAGGGGCTCACGCACCCTAGTACACCATCCTCGCCGTCTCAGCCTACTTTGTAGGGCCACTCACCTCGGCATTAGTCAGGACACCGGCAGGTAACTTAACGAAGCAGCCGCCTTAAACGATTATAACTCGAACTTCCATCATCTGCCGATGCCCTGTGCCTTCTCAGCGACGTGCACGCTCCGTCTCCAATGAAATGTAACTTTATATACTAAAGTTTCATTTTTTCAAAACAACCAATATATCAACATGTTATTATCAAACATTTAATTTCATAAATATAAATTAAGAATAATTATCAAAAGCAAAATTATTAAAGTTTTATTCATGAAATCTTTTTTATATTGACAAATTCAATCATTAATAGTATACTTGGTTTGCTGTGAGTAAATTAATTCAAAATGTAACAAATTATAATTTCATGTACTACTAAAAAAGGGAAATAACAAATGTATAACCTAAGTTTCAAAAATCAGAACATTTAGAGCTATTTATAGCTTTCGAATTCATGTACAGCAGAACTACTTACCTGTTCTGATTCATTAATATGACATGTTGCGAATCACCGAAGGGAAAACCAATATAGAAATCGAAAGGAGTTCTTGAATGCGGATTTATTTTTAGCTGTAAATCGAAGGGATTAAATGATCAAATCCGTGCCCATGGACGAAAAAAAAAAGTAAACACAAATAGGCGCGGAGCAATAACAAAACAAGGCCAAAAAAACAAGTAGCAAATATGAGTCATATTTTAAACTTTTAAATGAATGATTCACATGAAAATCAATAGACGTCGCAAAAACGCAATTTAAATTCAATTTACAATAAAAGTACGTGTGGAAAAAAAGTTCTTTATGCCAATCTATCCGGACATTTTGATATGATAAACCATAAAAACAGTTTTGCTGGTTAATAAAAGGCAATGCTTCACTAAGTACCATTTTGTTAATCAAACGAAAAGAAAAGCTTAGCTCACTATCAAATATTCTTTTTAATATGGCGAACCTGTTATGTTGAAAGCTTATGTATAAGTTTAAATAACGACATACTTGAGAAAATGCATTTTTTATTAAAAGGATGCTGAAAACTAAATTTCCTCTATATTACAAACGTTTTACAATTTTTTGTATATAATTAACATACAATGTATGTTTTAAAAATTTTAGTATCTCGCTGATACGTTGGTATAGACATTCCTGTGAATAAATGCTTCCTCTTTTGCATGCTATGCTCGCAAACGAGTTCTTGTCAAAACATTGTCAGGAGGATCACTACCGAATTGGCATATTTTTCTTTGGCAGCTCGACGTTTTCCGCCCCCCTTTTTTACCCTTTTCAAGACTTTTGTGATCATTATAGTTGTTTTTTGGTCCTTTGGTGTCCAAAAATCTTAAAGCTTTTTGTGGATTTTTTTTTGCTTAGGATTTATACGCTGTCTTTAAATTTTTTAAGGGAAAGTGTGACTGGGTTTTGCTTTTTAATTTTAGTAGTTTTGATCAAAGTTTCAAAAACCCACTTTTAGATTTCAAACATTTTAAAATTTTCCGGAAAGGAATAAATTCATTTTTATAAATCTTTCTTTTTATGGTGGTTTTTGTTGTTATTAAAAATTATTGTCCCTTTTGTGAAGGGTATTTTTAAAAGCTAGTTTGGAATTTGAACTTTTCTCTTTTTTAATGTTACTTTCGTCATTTCTTTGTTTATATTGTATAACATTTTTGTATTTATTTGGGGTTTCTGGTCGGTATTCCAAAACAATTTAGTTTTTCTTGAGGGGGTTTTGAATTTTTTAAATTTTTTTAAATTTATACTAAATTAAACTTCTTTTAAAATTCATTTCCGGGTTAAAATTAAAACCCTGTGTATTGATATACAAAACGATATTTATATGCCGAAGTCATGAAATTGGTTTTAAATATCTCGAAAAAAAAAAGCTATGTCATTTGGGAAGAACAATTTTTAAAGCGTTTTTTAAAATTCTATCTTTTATGTTTAAATTTTTAAAAATTGGGGTTTATTTTTAAAATTTTTCGGCATGAAAAAATTTGTTTTATAAAATTTTGTTTTTGTTTAAAAAATGGTACATTTTAATCTTTTTTGCTTAAATCTTGGGGGAAGAATGCAATAAACAGAAGCACCGTCATTATTTTTTCCTGTGATTTTGAAAATGAATAAAAAAAACAAACGACGCACATTTTTTAGTTAAAAATGGAAATTAAAAAGCGAGTTATCGTTTTTTGGTGGCCCCCAATATCCGGCCCATCTTTTTTGGTCATTCGATTTTCGATATAAGAAATCAATCTAAGCAGACGAACATTGTATATAGTCTATCAGAATCAATTAAACGATTATGATAGATTTGATTTGAATGTAATGTTTGTGTGAATGTCAAATGACAATTTTAGAAGGTGTTATTAATTTTAATTTCGCATACAATGTGTCACAATGTTATCATATTGCTTGGTGAACCATAAACATAAATTTAAAACATAGTACACGCACATCGATGCGGAGGTTGGTAGTTATTGTAGATACAACTGATATTTTCCAATGACATTTTTATATTTATAAGTCATCAGAAGTCAGTTGATACAATTTGATTAAGTTTATTCT